AATCCAAAGAGAGGAAATAAAGAGAAAAGTAACTACTTAAGATCGAAGATAACAAATGAGATCGTTAAAAAGCATAGAATATTCGAAGATGCCTAGATAAAAGATGTAAATAATAAAATATTTGAACCAGAGACACATGGTAAATTGAAGATGAAATGTTAGAAAAATGAAATAAACAACAATAATAAAGCAGACAGAATAATTAGAATGACGTTAAAAAAGTAACCGGCAATGACAATGATAATTAGAAATAATAACTTTAGAATAGTGAGAAAAGAGATTCATCCAGATTAAATTAGAAATGAAATTATTTTTTAAAAAAATGTAAAAGAGTTTCAGAATGGAAATCGGAAGGAAAAAGAAAAAAAATAATACGGAAAAACTATTAAAAATATAGAAATATTATAGACGGAAAGAAAATATAAAGCTAAGACAAAATATCAAACGAAAGAGTTGGGGAATAATTAAATAGACGATGAAAAGATTAGATGGGTGAAAGAATCGAAAAGTGGAAGAATGTTAACGACCGAGGTTAGTAAAGAAAAACTGTTAAATGAATTATTCGGCCTAAAAATGAGAGGACAATCTCAAACATCATAAAAGATGACGGTAGAACGATTGGCGCGCAAATCAGTCAGTAGAAAATCGAAATGATAAATTAAACAAATCACTTTAGAGATAGTCAAACAGAAATGTTAACAGCAGATAAAAGTGTAACAAGAAATTTGAAGAGCTTGAAAAGAAATGGTAAAGAAGGAAATAAGAGAAAAAACGGACAACAAAAAAAACCCCAGACACTAAATAGTAAATTAAGAACATTTCAATGTAAAAACGGATTTAACTAGCATTGTCAAGAGGAAGGCAAAAGGAAGAAAGAAACAAATGCAGAGAGAAAGGAGAGGATTAAACGGTGAATAAAGAAGAATATTTCATTGAAATGTGGGAACTAAAAGAGGATATATAGCGATATATACGGATAGTGGATAGATAGGAAGAAAGTAATGAAAGTGTTAGTGTAAAAACGGACATAAGATGTGGAGTGAGTAACCATGGTCAAATAAGTGACAGAACTGTCCAACAAACAGAATTAACAACGTTAGCAATAAACAATGAAAGAAAAATTAAAGAAAGAATAGGACAAAAATTAATATAAAGTAAGCAAATAATATATGCAAGGTAAATTAACAGTAGCAAAGCAAAGCAACAGCAATATGGAAAAATTCACAAACTAAAAATTTCAATTGATACAGAAAAGCAAGTTCAAGCGGACAAGCGAACGTAACGTTCTATCTTCAAGACAAGACTAACCGGAACTGCGTCAGATGAAACCAAGAACTGTCCTGATTTTATTGGCAAGGAAGAAATCACAGCATGAATTTCTGTGCTACTGTCAATAATGGAAGAGTGAAAAGTGTTTTGCAAGTCATTACCAGTAACATTGGTATCAACATCAAGTCCAATGAAAAGAAAGAAAGAAAGAAAGAAATGAGTGAAAGAAAAAAAGAAAGGTTCACGATTTAAAAGGAAAAAAATACAAAAAGAAAGAAAAATAATCAAGTGTAAATAAGGGAAAATACAGCTTGAACATAAGAGATTTAGTAAATGTCACTGGAGAAAATAAAAGAATCAGAAGACGCTGAAAGGCATTCAAATAATGCACCGAACGAATGAAAAAAAAAAGGCATGGAAATGATAAGAAGAGTGATGAAGAAAAGAAAAAAAAATCAACATAAGCATTGATATTGAAAAGGGTAAATAAAAATCATAAACAAAATAGAAAGGACAAAAGGAAAAAAAAAACGATTATGAAGAAAAGAACGCGTTCAAGGGTAAAACATTGCAAGACGTCAAACCAAATATATGACAAACCTCGCCGCACATTCTGCGGGGACAATTTTCATGTATCACTGCACAAAATGCAAATTCAGTTCCAGCGGAGGAAAATCGAATACTAAGAGTCAACAAAGAGTTACACTAAAATATATTTTCATCGATGCAGTTGAGTGTACCAACGTAAATGTTGTTTCGCATCCATTTAATGCATAAGGCGTGTATGTCATGATTTATATTAAGAGAGGTTTGCAGACATTCAAACATACGGGCACTTTCACATGTACCCACTAAGACACACAAAAAATGTACAAAAATTTCTAGCTCTCTCTGCCTCTCTCTCTCTCTCTCTCTCTATATATATATATATATATATATATATATATATACGTAAGAGTGTGTGCGTTTTTTGTGTGTATACAAGGATGAGCGATAAAAAATTCGTCTGTAAAAATTTCCGCAAATTTGATCAACATGAGTAAACATCCTAATATACTTTGGAATCCATTCTTTGAAATCTCTCTTGTGTATATGCATAGATATTCACGTACATATTTCGTATAAAGTAAACGATGTTCGAGGACAAACTCCAAAGTATGTATGCGATGGCTGCATCCGATAGGTCGCAGTGTCTAAAGTAGATGTATGAGCAAAAATTAACGATGCAGAAATAGATCAGAGATCCCGGGTTGGGCGATAAAGCGAATCAGGTGCAAATGGAGTGAAAGATACGCAACACAGGGTTATATTTGAATAATAGGTGTAATTTATTTGTTGATTACAAATCATTGAACAATACAGTTAGGCAGAAATATGGAGAACGTCACAAAGGGGATAAAAATGATTTGGTAGACATAAATCTATTTGTTCGCTGAACTAAATCCTAACATATGTTAATTCGACTTTTCCCCCAGGCAAAAAAAAAAAAGAAAATAGGATAAATTAACTCAACTTTACAATCTCTTTAGTAATATATATATATATATATATATATATATATATATATAGTAGTCCGTGGTATAATCTCAGTATAGAATTTCTGTTGGTATAAGACAACACAGAATCTTAAATATGTTAAAAACATCTATGAGTACAAAAGAGACCTCACAAAAATCAACTTACCTAATGCACTAGTCGTACATAGAAATAAATTCACCCACAATTTTAATTTAAAAAATTTCTATATTCATAAAAAAGAAAATAACTTATATGGAAAAACCTCGAGAGTGCCGCCATTGAATATTATCCAAATATTAATCTAAGCCCAGCCTTTTTCCTATATCACCTTACAGTATTACTACTCTCCTAAGCAAACTTACACACAACAATAAGAAGAATATATATATATATATATATATATATATATATATATATATATATATATATATATATATATATATATATAAATAAATATTTAATATATGTTCTTACACAGTTATTTTAGATCTATCATTCATTCTTCAAGGATATGATCTTAAAAGCGAATGTATTTTCTAAAATCCTATATTTCTTAAAACCTCTTAATATTCGATTCCAGATTATTTCAATTTTTTTAATTTTTAAATAATTTATTTTATAAAATAATCTTAATTGTTAGATCGTTTTGGCGTTGAAATACAATTTCTTCCTCACTTTCTTCCTCTCTGTCTCTCTTTGACACACACACATATGTATCGTACTTTTATGCATTATAAATCATTTTTCTCTCTTTTTAATCATTGATTTAAAACCTTTAGTTATCCTCGTATCAGACTCATGCGCTAATATCCAACAGATGTCACTTTTTCCAGTACGCTATTGAGATTGAGAAAAATGCTGTGATGGAGCGTGACCTCTTATGTCACACTCGATTGCCTCTTTTCTTTCTAACCATTAGATAGTAGTAGTGATCAACGTGATAGCAGGTTTGTGATGGATAGGAAAACTTTTCAAGAGAATGGACAAGGGTGGTTAAGTAGTCTGTTATGTATGAGTCATTTGGCAGCTGCTTCATTTTCATCGGCTCTTTCATATATAAAATTGATAATGATGGATCAATAATAATTTCAATATTAATGCTACAGGTGTTAACATCAATATCATCGTTGTTATTATTGTTGCTTTAAGCACTTTTGCTATTATATTCTCATCAATAAATTAACTTTTTACCTCAATTTAGGCATAACCTATTTTATACAATCAGCATTATAAATTAATTATCCTTAGTGTTGATAGCTTAAATGCCGCCTACGGTGGCCTTCTCTTAATTCCAGTATGTATTTATTTATAGAATATTTATTATAATTAGGAGTTACTAGACAAGGTAGTAAAGGAAAGTGGGGTGCAATGTCTCATAATAATTTGTAAGAAGAAAAATTGTATGGCTTTCGGCAGGTTTAAGAGCTCAAGGTATGAGCGACAAATTTGATATGTCAAAATCAAGCTAATGCATGGGGGGAAGGTTTTACCAGATAATATAAAATGTGACGAGAGAAACAATGAACAGTGTTGAACAGTAATGCAATATCAGTCTCCCTCTATAATAGAAAATGCTAGAGAATTCACTCGGAGACTTGATTCAACAAAAATATAGTTTTACTGAAGAATGCTGAGAATAACATGGGAGGAATATATGAAAAACAAAGAAATTTTAAGCAAAACAGTGACACAAAGTGCCTGTATATTTAGAATTATAACGACAGTTGAAAGTTTGTTTACACGTAATGACGAAAATGGACTGGGAGAATATAACTCGAAAAAGACATATTGTCGGCATGAAGAACAAATGGAAACATAGAAGAAGAAATTAGAAGGTGGGAAGGAGAGTGCAAATGTTTATAGCTACAAAGAAACGTAAGTTGATCTGATTGCCAATGATAGTTAGAAGCCATGGTACATAAAAGAAAAATATATTTATTTTACAGGTAGTAATTTTCATTCGACTTAATTATTGTTTAGTATTGATTAATTGATTCTTTTTCTACGGCTTATCAACCATTTGCAGGTTGTTTAAAGCCATAAAATATGTTTACATTATTTTTTTAAGATGATAAGGATTTAATGATACAAGTTTTACTAATTAACCTATAGCTAGGGGAGAAGAGCTGGATTTATACATTTCCCAAAGGTATTTGCAGGTAAGTGAATATAAAGAACATAACCGGAATCTGAACTCGAACATCCAAACTTATACCACCTGGCATTCCCAAGCAGTCACCCATATAGGTACTAATCATGCACAACGTTACTTAGCTTCGGTGATCGCGCGGCAACTGATGTTTTCAACGTGATGTGGCCATAACCCATGTTTATCGTCATTGTTAAGCTACATTTGCTAATTGCGAAGTGTATATACAAGGTGCGATGGGTAAATTGTCGTCTAAATTACGCAAAATTAAAATAACACTGACAATCATTTTAAGAGATATATTTACCAAAATGACACAAAAATATCTTGAATTACTAAATAGTGAATTTATTCAATGAAACTGCCATTAGGTTCATCTAAGGCAACCAGGCGATTTCGGAATCTCCTGAATCTCTTCTGGACGATCTCCTTTAAGTTGATGAATGCTGTCAAAATTTTTGTCTTTAGGTCACCTTTGGTGTTACAAGAACTTTCGTGGGTCTCTCGTTTAACTGCGCCCCACACAAGGGGTTGCAGTCTGAGGAGTTAGGTGACCAGAAGTAAGATGTGCCGTCGTCGCAAAAATTGTTTGATTGCCATGACTGGGTTCTCCTGCTTGTGTGGGATTTTGCAGAGATGAGATGCCAGACAGGGTCTTTCAAAAGAACCTTCTTCTCTAGGGCAGCACAACTTGATGTAGGACTCCCTGTTGAGTCTGAGGCTCTCACCAACAAATTCGGAAGTTCCTTTCTCATGAGAACGATCAAAGTCAGTTTTTTCGAACTGCAGTAACTTTGTAATCACCATTGGACTCATCTAACTCTTTTCAAATCCTTTTCACTGTCCAAAGATTGACACGCAATCATTCTGAAATGTTCGTATTGGATCATCCAAGCAGTATACCATGCTTTTTCCAAATTTCTGACCAAGGAAATGGCGTCATAGTGCTGTTTTTTCACAGAAGGTGCCCAACTGATCCTATTATACTATGCAGTCGCCAAAATCAAAAGCAAATCACGCGCATTCACGAAATTAAATATATAAAATAGCGACAATTTACCCATCACATCCTGCGTAACACAGTTTCTTCTCTCATTACGACACAATTCTTTAAGGCATACTTCTCCATCTTAATTCTACCTTAAATATATATTTTGGATAGGTGTATATTTAATTAATAAAATTTAACTCCGAAATCTGTAGTTGTTTAGGCGCAATAATAAATTTGTTCTTGAATTTACAGCATTTTCGTGGTATGGTCCTGATATAAAAACTTGTCGTCTGCCAACATGTTTCTTATGAATACATACCAAATACTTTTATGTTTATCACCTTTATTATTATTATTATTATTATTATTATTATTATTATTTTTATTATTGTTGTTGTTGTTTTTGTTGATGTTGCTGTTGTTGTAGCATATCTACGGATGATAATAGGTATATCCCCATTCACATAAATACAGTAGTAAATATGTATGTTGTTCTGAAGCTGTGCTGGTCAAATTCTTTGCCTCCGGACAGAGAAGATCTCAGATGAGGCTACGACGAATGGCAGATTTTCGTCTCGCGAAACAGCTACCCGACTCCGTAATATACGGGGTCAATGGGGAATTTTTTGGCCGAGCATACAGGCTCAAATACCCCACATTCAATTCGGCCTTGTGCCACATCTGACCGTGTGGGGCAGTTGGTAGATATCCGACAGTTTGAGATTCATTGTGTAATTCACTTGTCTCACTTCTATAAGTTAATAAGATCTACGCGCCGCTGGCAAATCTTATATGTGTTGTTCTTTTCCTAAATGTTATCGTTCATTACCAGCCTACGTGAGATTATTCCATTCAGTAACCTTACCTAGGTTACAACAATTGTTATTATTATTATTATTATTATTATTATTTGAACAGCCATATGAAACTTACCTACATCCCTTCTGTCCCAGTGGATGAATGTTTTTTGCTTCGAAAAAAGAGTAAGTTCAATTCGTCAGGACAGACGTGATCAACTTCTACGTGGTGGAGAGACATGTTATTGGCCTATAATTTTTCGGATTATCTGTTTCACTCGTTTTTGGCATGGGAAATGTAATACCTTCAGTGATCCAAAACCGGGATTTCATTGGGATTATTTACCAGCGTTGAAAGTATTTTTGCAAGGGTTTTATGGATTGATGACAGATCAAAGAGCCGAAATTGGCACATTTTCATTTCCTGAGGGTTTCCATTTTTGGCATTTCGTTAGAGCTTTCCTAACATTATCTGTGGTTATATTTTCCCACTCTTGCATAGGTGTATGTAGCATTTGTTCTTCTTCACGTTGGATCTATTATGCATCTGGATTATATTTTGTTGGGCTGCTCCAAATATTCTCCCAAAATGCCTGTACATTGTCAATAGACGGTGGCTTTTCGATATGTATAGATGTTTTTTTTTTTAATTTCCCTTTAAAATTTCTTAAGGACCATTTGGAATAATATATTTTAGCGATAGAACCTACAACATTTTTCGTATCGTCTTTTTCTCTGTGCCTTTAACTGAAATTTCTGTTTCAGCATTTCCTTGACTGATGTAATTTGAATTAGGGATTCAATTTTATATTTCCCCCTTTCTTCTTGCATTTGCGTGTTGAGACATTTGGGTTTCTAGTGAGGCTCATCTAATATAGAAAGCTCACATATGATTTCCTTTATTTCTCGCATTAGTTTTGCCTTCCAAGTTGGCTCTCTGTTTATGCTATAATTTTTTCATTGTCTTGATCCCAGATCAAGACAATGAAAAAATATAGCAGATATAGAGAGTTTCCCAGTAGCTGCTAAAGCTGTTACGTATATAATGTTAATTTCTCTGATATTTCCCGGTGGTTTATCCGTTAAGGGTTTTTAGAGCAGCCTTGATTATTTGCACAATGTGCTTATTGGATTCGTCATATGAATTCTTGGGAGCTGTTCTCTGTCTGAAAATTATGTGAGGGTGACTCTCTTCAGTACTTGAATGACGTGGTTGTTTGTTTCGGTGATTTCAGCTCTGTGTTTTTTAAGGATATCCAACTTAATTTAGTTGGAGTCATCTTAAGTGACATCGTCTGGATAAGAGCAGGTTATGTCACAGGTAGATTCTAGGATTTTATTTCCCGGGTGATTATTTCGTATTTCATGTGTTTTAGTTTTTAACTCATCCTCTGTCATATTACTTATTTCTACTTTCATCTCTTTACAGTTTAAGTGAAGGGTTATAGTATTCTGTCTTATATCTAATTTTATCTATCTATTTCTGAATTTGAGAGACTCTTGTTTCCCACAATGTTCCTGCGGTCATTGGCAAGCATGTTTGGGTTCATGTTAGGTCTTATATCCCTTCCTACTATAATTCTCCATATTTGGTATGTATGATTCGTGGTTTTCTTTGCAGTGCTTTCGAGTGCAGTGAAGAATGATGTCATCAGTTGTTGATACTCTTCGCGACACCATTTCGTTCGTTTTCTTTTTATTATTTGATTTGACATTGAGTCAATTGGTCCAAGGTTGGTAATTGTCCGAGGTTGGTTACCTAGTGTCTCTTCGGTTTTGGAACAATTCTGTTGCAGTGACAAATATTTTGGCCCCAGACTGGTTTCTCTCTGAGGTATGCGGCCCTTGTTGACCCGGGTGAACCCCGGTATGAAATTTTATTAGTATTCATTGAGATTCGTAGAATTTTGCGTGTTAACCTTGACTGCCAAGAGGCAATTATGTTCAAGTTACCAGCTCTACGGTGACACTTAAATAAGTCCTGAAATTACGTCCAACCAATGAGAGTGATACGGATGGGGAATAAATTCACATATCCACTATTAAAGTGTTCATATTTGAGTATTTTATTCAGTGGGGTAGCATATGCGTATAGATATGGCACTGGCTATACTAAGTTTTAACTTAGTATAAGTCGGAGTGACCAGTACCAGGTGAGATATCAGACTTTATTAATGAGGTTTATTCCACTAAAAAGGGGGGGGTCAATATCATCCCTACCCATGCGAATACACACACATATACATTGTAAATACATATATATTTACATACATACATTCTTCTTCTTTGATCGTTACAATGGCTCTGCTCACTCTGAGTATTACAATAGTTTTAACGTGCCACATATTTTCACTTTTAATGTCAAGATCCTTATATATATTTATTTTATTATATTATTTTAACCGATATATTTTTATCTTAGATTTATGAAATAAAATTCTTTTGTTTGTAGTCTTTAATCACAATATCTAGCCTATTAGCTTTTATAAGACCTTCAGTAAGAATGGTAAGGTCTCAAATAGAATTAATCTCATGCCTTTCTGGTACTGCTTCAGAGTAATTTTCATGCTGCCTGCATACTGCAACATATTCCAGTGAATACATTGCCCAATTTTACCATCTTGATCGTTTTATTTCTTTAGTATTAAAATAAAAATGTCAGACACTATATAATCAGTAATTTTCATATATTGTTATTCTTCATGGTAGAACTGTGCCATTCTTTTTACGTTTTCCAGGTAGTTGTTTTCGTCCTGTGCAGCTATTATAAATGCTGCTGCCTGTGATTATATGCCTACACTAATCATTCAATGATGTGTTTTCATACATTCTTCTTCTTCTTCTTCTTCTTCTTCTTCTTCTTCTTCTTATTATTATTATTATTATTATTATTATTATTATTATTATTTTCTTTGATTTCTGGCGTTTACACATTTCTTTCCGGGTCCCGCTCAGGGACCTAGGGATAGAAATGGCGTCATGACACTTTCCACTGACAAAAAAAAAAAAAAAAAAAAAAAAAAAAAAATTAAATTACTTAAATAGATAATAAAGCCCTTCGTAAGGTGTGGGCTGTACTTGTCAGAACAATTTTTGTATCTCTTTGAGGCATGGACTTCCAGGAATCCCTTCAATTAGTCTACTGCAATATTTTCCAACCAGTCCTAGGGCCCAACTACAACAGGGATTGTTGATGTTCCCATATGCCACATTTTCGAGATTTCTATTTCAAGGTCCTTGTATTTTGACAATTTTTTGAATATCTTCAAAGATACATTGCAGTCAGCAGGGACTGCCATGTCAATAAGGAGGCACCGTTTTTGTTTTTGGTCTTTAATAACAATATCTGGCCGATTGGCCTTGATTGTTCTGTCAGTGTGTATTG